CATTTGAACTTCTCTGGAGAAATTCCCATTCAGCTTGTGTGCTCACTTACTGAATAAGTTACTTGTTCTTTCATTCTTACTGTTTTAAAAAGGTATTCTGCATATGAATCTTTGTTTGATTAATCGCTAGCACAGTTACCACCCATTCTACACTTTCATAATTTCGTTTTGTATTGTGCAGAAGCCTTTTGATTGGATTGGTCATTACTATTATTTACTTTTATTATGGTTAAGTAGTTGTACAAAGGATTCCCATTTAGCAAAGTGCTTTATGAATACAACCCATCTTTATGAGTTTCACTCCTTTTAACATTCTACCCACCCCACCCAGTCCACCCGTTTTCTTATGCTTCTTAATTCTTGACTATCATTTCTTGAGCTATTGGAGTCATTTCTATTAGTTCTATCATATCCATTCAGAAAGCATGCCAATGTCAATTCCTTGATGCATTTCCCATGTATTTTCTTTTAGTACTTTTAATGTATTAAGTAATACATTCAGGGCTTCCATCTCTGTAGTGTGAGAAATAGGGATCTGGTGCAACTCTTCTGTGTTTACATCTCCAGTTTTCCTAGCACAATTGTAAAGAATCTTTTTCTTACAAAACATGTTTGGGGCACATGTGTCAAGAACAGGACAGATTCAGCTGCATGGTTTGCTTCTTGGCCCTATGTTCCATTTCATTCACCAGCTGTCCTCACCTCAGGCCCCTGCTATCTTCCTTGTTTTATAAGTATGGCTCTGAACTAGAATTCAAATTCACTTACTGTGATAACTTCAGCATCGCTCTTCTCAGGAGTGCCTGTCATCAGCAATTTGGAGTTTTCTGTACTTCCATATTAATTTTAAGACTGTTTGCTTTTTTAGCTCTGTGAATAATTTCATTGGAATTTTATAGAGGTGCACTATATTTTCAGATAGTCTTTAAAAATTTATTTGGTAACCAATTCAAAGTGTTTCTTTGGTAAAAGAACAGGGAGGTCTTTTCACAAGCAGAATCTTACCATTTTATCCCATGTCTTTCTTTAAGAAACTAAATCTCATTGATTAATATAGTATTATTCCAAAGGGCCTCTAAAAATCCACATTAGAAACTTGTCATATGCTGTGCACAGATGGCTCAGGCCTGTGTCCTAGCTACTCAGGAGGCTGAGATATAAGGATCACTGGTCAAAGCAACCCTGGCAAGAGTCTGTGAGACTCCTCTCTTCACTATGCTACCAAAAGAACTAGAAGTGGAGCTGTGGTTCAAGTAGTAGAGCATTAGTGTTGAGCATGAATGCCCAGGGACAAATCTGGGGCCTGGGTTCAAGCCCTAGGACCACCACAAAACAAAACAAAACTACAACAAACAAAACGCCTTTACAATGAATTCTATACAGCAATAATAACATCTGTAGAGATTATGTAAGTGCTATTATGTGATGATTTACACAAGGATTGTTTTTTACCTTAAGAGCTTTCATTCTTTGAAAATAAAAGAAAATATACATTGGTTTGTATGAAACTAGAACAAATACTTAAATTTGAGTATTTCTTGTTGAGAATAAAATCTGTATTCAGAATGGGACAGTTCTATTTATAATTTTACATTAAAAATGTTATACCTGGAAGGTGAATGTTTCTTCTTCCCCTGTGATTTTGTCCAATGCCTTAGCACCAGGGTCTGCTTGATTTGCTTGTTCTTGTTGTCATGGAGACATTTAACATTTCTTATTTTGTTGTCTTAACACTTTTTTCCCTTCTCACCACAAAACAAAAAGGCCAGAAAATAAGAGTTTTCAATTTATAATAAACACAGACTTCTTTTTACATTTTCTTCTGACATAAGCTTCTTTCAATATTTTCTTGGAATAAAGTAAATATGTATTACATATCTGAGTACTTAAATAACTGAAAGCATTGCAGTTTAAAGAGAAGAAACTGAGTTTCTTAAGCAGGTTTCTTTTTTCTCTCAGAAGTATTCGAGAAAAACAATAATACATCTGAAGTCACTGATTGAAAGGCTAGGAACCTATTTGGATATCAATTCCTACATGTTCCTTTAATTTATTTATGGTTTGGTGACACTGATGGGCTCCTGCAATCTGGGTTGAGTCAGGAAGCTATGAAGTCTCAGGCTGGCTGAAGTCTCTTTGACCAAATAAATTCAAAGGAGTAAAATTGAATATAGGCCCTGGGTTACTATGAATGGGCTATGCAGAGATGGGGGAAGTAGCTCATGTGTGCTCTCTGTAGCTCCTGGGGAAAATCAGTCACTTATTTTTCAAAAAGATGTAAGTGAATTTTTCTAACATTTAAGAAAAGTTAATATATAAACCAGCCATACAATTGTTTTGAAAGGCTATAAAGGACTTCTACCTTATAAAGTAGAATGTGATTACATGAATATGCTAAATATCTGTCTTCCTTGTCCACTTGGTAAGTGACTAGTTCCTATAGCTTAACCTATGTGCTTTCAGCATTTTCCAAGATCAATGTGCATATATTGGGCTTAGCTAACACTTGAAGCCAGATTCTGCTGCCAAAGTGTTATTGGATTAAATAATCTCCCAGGGCTGAGTAACATTCTCTGTGCTGGAAATCTGATTTTCCAAAGCTGGAATATAATGCTAAAGAGATTTATAAACAGCTGTTGGGATTTTGTCATTGTAACTCAAGCACAAGAAAGCATCCAAATTTTGAATAAGTCTATTAACTTTATTAACATTATAGGATTTTTTCCCTTTTCTTTTTTTTCTTCTTTTTTAGATACACAGCTTAGGTAGATAAACTGTTCTTCTTTGAATCATTAAAGATTAATTGCACACTACAGTTATGCACGAACTTTTAGTGAAGTAAATAAGAAAATTAATTATATAGTCAAGTATACAGTTTCTTTTTTTTTTTTTTTTTGGGTCCGGTCGTGGGGCCTGAACTCTGGGCCTGGGTGCTGTCCCTCAGCTCTTCAGCTCAAGGCTAGTGCTCTACCACTTGAGCCACAGCGCCACTTCTGGCTTTTTTCTTTTTGCTTATGTGGTGCTGAGGAATCAAACTCAGGGCCTCAAGCATACAAGGCAAGCTCTCTACCACTGAGCCACCTTCCCAGACCCTACAGTTTCTTTATAAGTAACCTAATCTTAACTCTAGCTGATTGTTAGACATCTTCATCTTTCAGAACTACTGTGTAGCTGGTTCATAATTTTATAATTTTCTTATTAATTTTTGAATTAATATTCTTCAAGTTCAATCCATTGTTATATATTATGATCATGAAAAGCTGACACATTAAAAACATTTTTTGAGATATAATTGAGTCAAGCATTATATTAACCTAGAATAGGCCATTGAAATTTACAGATCTTAAATACAGCACAATAACATATAGTTTCCTCAGAAATAGTAGGATCATCTGTTAATTTTATATACCATATAAATTTCAGTGTTATATGCTGATACTTACATTAATATATTATCTTTATGGAATATTAATGTGAATTATGTACTTATATGAATATCAATAAGTGTATTTATATTGATAATCATATAATTTTAGTGTCTCATATTTAAATTATTTTGCAAAATAGTCATTGACATAAGAAATATGTATATAATTAAAATACTGAATGCAAATATTTATTAAGAGAAAAACAGACGATAAAATTTGGACAGAAAATGAAAATCAACTTCCTATAGTATCAACTGGAACTAAACATGACCTCAGCAGATTATGTGTTGATAGTAGTGATGATTGATTTTTGTCAACTTGATTGTGCCAAGAGTGCCCAGATTTTGCTCAAATATTAGTCTGAGTATATCTTTGAAGGTGTTTTGGGTGATTGAAGGATTGGATATAATTAAAAGACTTTCATATCTAGGGCAAAGCAAACTATTATAGCAACCACTCTCCACTTTATAACTCTACCTGAATCACTGGCTGTCCTGTGACTTCGGTTTGACAGAAGAGTTGCAGATGTGAATTTTTTCTGTTTCCCTATTTCTGTAAGCTATGTGATTAGAAAACCCTTTTGACATAGCAGTCTGTTCCATTGGTTTCGTTTCTCTGGAGAATTCTTATTCCTATCATAACCTTACCTCACGAAAGAAGAGAAAATTTAAATCAGCAGATTGAGGAGGAAAGACAACTCAGTCTATGGAATAATTTCCAAATTAATTTCCAAATAATTACCAAATACTTACACTTAACAGAAAGGAAATACTTTGTGTTAGTTACTACATCCTCTTGATTAGGGGCAAGTAAAGAGTAGACAGTCAACAGTGGTTCCCATACTTAAATATAAATTAAATTCATTTGGTGAGTTGAAATAGAAATAAATACTAATGCCCATTTTTATCTTGTTATTATCATTGATAGGTCTTCAGTATTTGTATTTTCTCTTTTGTTTATGGCAGTAGTGGGGCTTGAACTCAAGGCCTGGGCACTGTCCCTGAGCTCTATTGCTCAAGGCTAGCAAGCACCCTACCACTTTGAGCCTCAGTGCCACTTCCAGTTTTCTTTTTTTGGGGGGAGGGGGTGTCCGGTTGTGGGGTCTGAACTCTGGGCCTGGGCGCTGTCCCTCAGCTCTTCAGCTCAAGGCTAGCACTCTACCACTTAAGCCACAACACCACTTCTGGCTTTTTTCTTTTTGCTTAGTGTTGCTGAGGAATCGAACCCAGGGCCTCAGGCATGCAAAGCAAGCGCTCTACCACTGAGACACCTTCTCAGCCCCACTTCCGGTTTTCTTATGGTTAATTTGAGATAAGATATTCATAGACTTTCCTTCCTGGGCTTGCTTTGGATTGTGATCCTCAGATCTCAGCCCCCTGAGTAGCTAGGTTGACAAGGGTGAGCAGTGAGTATCTGGCTTGAATATTTTCAGGCTATCCTGAAGTGTTATTACCTGAGGTCAGGACTGACTGCCTAGGACTTGGGGTGAGAAGCTCCATAGCTGTTACATGCAGAGTAAAATAAACCCTCAGGACAGCTGCTACAGCAACAGGAGAGTACACTCTTCTAAAAATGTTCTATACCTTTAACACAAGGTAAGCCAGGAAACTCAAATGAAATGACAGAAAATTGTAGGAAGAAAGCAACATATCACCATGGGAAAGGAAATGCTGAGGTTTTTCTTTGCACCATTTGAAAACATAAGTCCAATGTTAAGAAAAGAACAGCACAATGGCCATGAATAATATTTCCCAGCATTCTAAATGCATAATCGGAGTGCATGAATTATTGCTTTAATTTAAAAGTCTTTAACAACACTTAATGATTCAATCACTTACAGACATAAGTGACTTTTAAAAGTTCCAAAATGTAAGGGTATTTGCAGAGTAAAATCTTTAAAAGAATCAATTAGTATCCTACAGCAATTACAACTGGAATTGACATAAATAAGCATATTTAACATATTTGTCTTTTTTCTAAATTATAGGAAAATTTAAATATAAGTAGATAAAGAAGTGAAAATTTGAATATACCAAACTTTCATAGTTAAACTTTTGGAAAATTAAATTAAAACTTGTTAAGTACCTTTTAGATAAAACTTACTGTATACTTAACTTTGAACATGCCTTTGCATTGTGAATATATTAATTTATTCCTACTCATCTACTTATTTATTTCTATCCATCTATTACTTTGAATCTACTTACTCCTATGTACATATATATATATCATATAATATATTCTTTGACATAAATATTGGCATAAAATGAGTTTATAAAAACTTTTTGAGTTCATAAACTTAGTGAGAGAAGAGTTTATTTTGTATGTGTGTGGATGGAAGAAAAATTAGATGTAAAAGAGGCAAGAAAATGGTAATGGAAAGAAATTAGCATATCAATTATAGAAAATACACGAGACATTGAGTTTCTAAGATGAGAGGCTGTATAATCTTTTCTGAGTCTATGGGATGAGATCCTTTTCCACCAATATGTTCCGTCCTTGTCCTTAATAAAGCAAAGTCCTAGAATAGCTGAAGAGAGAGTCTTTCCGAGGAGACTAGATTTACTTATTCATATTGATGATTTAGCTTAAGAAATACTGAGTCGGTCCTGGAGCTATTCTGCCTGCGGTGCTGCAGGAACGGCGGGAAGGACCACATCGCCCTGAAGGAGATGCCGGCCGTGCAGCTGGACACGCAGCACATGGGAACAGCTGTTGTCATTGTAAAAAATGTGGAACAGGAGGTTGTTTAGCTAGCACACCTTTACATCAAAACAAAAGCTACTTAGAATTCAAAATACAGTCCACAGGAATCTGGGGTATTGGTGTTGCAACTCAGAAAGTTAACCTGAATCAGATTCCTCTCGGCCTAGATGAGCACAGTTTGGTGATGAGAAACAATGGAGCTCCGTACCAAAATAATGAAGAGAAAAACAGGCTGCCAACAAACAGCCTTCCTCAGGAGGGAGATGTGGTGGGTATTACATATGACCATGTAGAATTAAATGTGTATTTGAATGGAAAACACATGCATTGTCTAGCATCAGGTATACGAGGGACAGTGTATCCAGTTGTGTATGTTGATGACAGTGCAATTTTGGATTGTCAATTCAGGGAATTTTATCATACTCCTCCACCAGGTTTTGAAAAAATACTGTTTGAACAGCAGATCTTCTAAATAGATTTGTTTTTGAAACTTGTATTTCTTCACTGTTACAAGTATTTCCCAAGTATTTACCTGGCTATAGATAAAAATATATTCTTTAAAACTTGCTTGTTAGTATTGTCAAAGGAACCATTATATACAATGTAAAACTCAGAAGTTTTCATTTGAAATACTTATGCTTTATGATATGAAAAAAAATACTGAGTCTAGGAAGTGGCACAGTAGCTCAACATGGTAGAGCACTTGAGCAAAAGAGTTCAGGAACAGTACCCAGGCCCTGAGTTCAAGCCCCATGACTAACAAAAATAAAGAGAGAGAGAGAGTGAAATGCTGAGTCTATGTACTATTAAACAGTATATCTCAAAATGCTTCAGACTAAGGAAAACCAGAATGGCTAGAGGTGTTTGAAGTTACTCGCAGAGCTAAAAGCAGGAAGGCCAGTAGCATACTGGGTTTCGTACAGAATAATATATATTTGCTAAAATGTCCTTTTTGTGATCACCTCAATCAGGGCACTCCCCCGAAGGTTTCAGATGAGGCTCTGATATGTTCCTTGCTCCATGTGTTTCCTGCTTGTCTTCTTTTGACTCCATCCCAACCCCAGGCCACCTGCTGCTCATGCTCAGTCATTCCTCCTGATGCTCCTTGAAAAGACAATCACTCCTCCGGAGACTTTTTTAAACCTGGGCATCTATTCATCTTGGAAAAATCAGTCAGCTCCTCTTCAGCTCTCCTTATAAAATTTACCTCTAATCCTTCCCACCTAAAGAGGCCCAGAGAACAAGCACAGGGCAGGGTGGAAAGCTTTCTAATGATCAATTATAATACCAAGACTTTGTGATGCTCCAAGCATCATATCCAAGATGGTATCCTTGTGGGAATGGACATACCAAAATAAATGCATCTCTTATTGAAATTAGAAAAAAAACCAACCTTCCGGTCATTTTGGCTACACTTTATGCATTTCCAATTCTGTCATCTATAATGAGGTGTAGACTAAAACCATTTTCTCCTAACACTCTGTTCAGTCTTTATCATTCAGAATGTGGCATGTATTTTAAATGCCTTTATTATTGATACTTTCTTGTATCCGAGTGTGAAATACATTCAAATGTTGAAGTGGAATCACACTGCTATTAATAACAGTAATTGAAACTAAATTTAATTGTGACCAAAGAATTTTTATGGCGCTTTACAGATAACTGTAAATGTTTGGATTTCAGTTATTTCTTTTCTAGGTATTGTTTCTTGTTTGCTTGTTATTTTTATCTATATTTATATCTACATCTACCTATATGTGTATGCTTTGATAGATACTGAAAATTGCATACTGGGTTGAAAATATATATATAATTATGGATATATACATATATATGAACAGATAAAAACACATTAACTTTACTTATTTTTTGTTTTCTTCTATTTCTAAGTGATTTATTTAAAGACTTATATAACTTATATGTAAGTTGTAAAAGCTTCCTTGATCTTGTGGCTGACTCATAGCTCTCAAATTGCTAAGTATTATATTCTTATGATAATAATCAAACCTACATAAAATGATAGCTTCATAAAAAACTATTAATAATTTTCACAAAAAGTCAGTGTCTAAACCCATGTTATTGTTTTATTGTCTACATAACTATTATATAATTGCATTTTTAATATTGTATATTGTTTCACTTTATTTGCAGAGATTTTCTGATAAATAAATCAAATAGCCATTTCTGCTTTTCCTATTGATTTTAGCTTTAAGCTCTAATATGTTTCATTTCAGTGAATCATTGTCAATTTTGATGGGACTCAACTTTCAGAGAAACAATAAATATTAAATAAAATAGTAACTCAGTAGAGAAACAGAGACAGAAGTTTCAGGAATCTGGATTTCTATTTTATTAATTACATATGTACAGAAGGACAAATTTAATGGTGCAATTTTTAGAACAAAAGGCTTCAGAAAACTGTGGCTCCCAAACATGTTGTCTCAGTGAAAATTCTATCATTTGTACTAGATTATTAAATAGGTCTGAAGAAGGTCCTCAGTACGTTTTCTGATAAAGAAAATATTTACAGTTCTAAGCTTAGCAGCCATTTAAGATCTTTCTTCACTCCGTGTCTGGATGGAAACAGGTCACTATGTAGAAACTTACTGAGGAAATAGCTTCCCTTGGGTAGAGGGTACAAACTGGACCTTGGTTATACCAAACAGTGCTTCGTAATGTCACCAACACTTGCAAAATTGTAAACAGGGAAACCATTCATGAATTGCCAGTCAATGTGTGGTAAGTCTCCGGGCAGTCACACGAGAAGGAGCCAGGGGTTCTGGTGTGGATGTTGGCCTCAGAATACAGGACACATCATTACAACCCACCAAGACGTGGTCTTCCATTCACACACTTCTTCACCTGTGTGTCACCATGTGATACGAAGCTAAAAAAAGTCAATGTAGCAGAGTGACAGGGGAAAAGGATTACACCATAAATGCGGGCTCACATTGTATAATAGAAAAGAGCTGTTCATTCTTGCTTTGTGCATTAAATATAGCTTTGTAGAAGCCCTGAAAGGAGTTTAATCTTTTATTATTTTAAATAACATGTTTCTCCATATCTGAATGCCATCTCCTGCATATAAAAAGGCGAAGGTTTTTTTTCTTATTTCTCTCTGCAAACCCTATTTGCACACTTTTGTAATTTTCTCTAGATGAATACTACAATATAAGCGAGTAAATTAAATGTATCCTGGTAAAAAGGCAAATATTTAATGACCCATTTGGGGAAGTCATTTGCATGTATTTCTGAAAGATAATACATTTTTCAGCCACTATAAATTTGTATTCATAGAAATAAAAATGCAAGTATACCTACCAGTCAGATTACAGGGCTGTTTTTGTCTCTGAGCTTAAAACAAAACTAATGTATAATGTTCTTGACACTTGAAATTTTTTCCTTGTTCAGCTGCGTTAAAATAGCATGAGAAAGTAGCCTTGAATTTCAAGAGCAATTTGTATCCTGTAGATTGACCAACAGTAGTTTGACTTACACATTAAAAAATTATCCATATTTCCATCACAGTATACATCAAGGGCATGCTGAGATAAAGTACTTTCCCAATATTTTGTAATATGGCTACTGGGCCAGGCAAAGGAGTCTGGAAAATTGTGGCAGATAAGTCATTAGGAGTAAGACTGGGTCAATAGTTTTAGAACTCTCTTATCCTCATTATGGTTTCAAAGAACGTTCTAGAAAATCAATTCTCTTCTCTCACCTTGAGAAATGACTTAGGGAAAAGTTAAGGGAGAAGAGGGAGCTATCTGGTTGTCCAGGGCCAATGGCTTCTTCACAGTGTGTGTACTGCAGGCATCCTATTCGTGTTGTAGATGGCGGGCAGAAGGAAGGTTCTCTCTCCTGGTAGCATCCTCTGACTCAGGACTCCTCCTTGTGCATGGCTTTAGCATCGGAGCTGCTGTTTCCCCACCACGAACCTCCATCACAATGGTTTTCCACCAGTGAAGACAAAACTCCTCAAATCTCTCCTGGAGCTATCAGTGCCGTCCATGTTACTCTGCACTGTGCTCACCAGGTTCAGTGCTGAGGACCGTGACTGGGGTTTGCAGCTGGGCCTCGACACTTCCCACCTTTGACACTTGACCCACCCTCTAGGGGATGCTCAGTGCCACCTTGGCCTCTTGTTTCCTGCTCACATCACAGGAAATAAATCCCAATATTGCTGTTGGAAATAGACTTTAATGTTTGCATGGTGTTATGTTTATCATACAACCGGGCAGAAGGCAGAGATTTCCCATAAATGCCTTGCACCCCTCTCTGAAGATTTGCATGATTCATAAATTGATAGAGGAACAGGTTTTATTAAAGGGAAAAACATGCTTCTGTCTTTCCAAAATAAAAGAATGCCGTATGGATGCCTTAGGTTGAATTACAGAAGATCATTTACTCTCTGATTTATTTTCATACTAAATGATAAAAAGTTAATTCTAGGGTGCAAATTGGCTTGAAATTACTCAGCCACACTTTATTTTAAAATTACATAACTCCCGTGAACATATTCCATCTCAGTTTGATCATAATGAGAAGGGCCTTATACTTAACTATTTAACACAGTATAATATGCAACATTTTAAGGAATTATCTTGTGTCACATAGTTTGATACGATTCCAACTTGCATCTCTATTCGAGACTGAAATTTCTAATGCATGATGACTGTCTCTAAAGAATAATTATCTTGTATAAAACTTTTTTGCTATAACTCAAAGAAATTTATTGAAAAACAGCATTTTCCCACTCTGTGTGGAGTATCGTTTTGTTACTCCTGACACAACTATGAAGTAATAAGCCCTTAAGTCTAGCTCTGCCTTGAGCAAAAACTAGTTTCAGTATATGCCAATATTATGAGTGAAGTATGTGCTAAAATGTGCAGAAATCTTGTTGGCCTTTCTTAAAAAGAGACAGGTCAACTTGTATAAAAAGGAGTACAATTCATATTCTAGTATTCTTAAAATAATTTGTTAGGAGAGGCCTGACCTCTTTGGAATTCTGTCTGACAGTATTTCAGAAAACAAAATACATCCCAACCACAGGATACAATATCGCTCCTTTTTTGGTATTTACTCAAATACGTTGAAAATTTGTGTCCATACATAAATCTTCACATGAATGTTTAGAGCAGATGCTTGGTTGCTGTGTCCATTTTCCATTGTCATTAAATCACAGGCATACATTATATTCTATTTTTCTTTTAATTGATCAATGCATTTTTAATCAGATTCTTTTAGAAACTATTTATTTGATATTGACCATGAACTAATTGAGCTGTTGTTGCCTTGCATCGTTGATCTCTTAGCCACATTAATGAATATATTGGTTTACTGATATTTGATCCAACTAGCATTCTGGGGGGAAAAACAGCTTGCTAGCAATTACAAGGAAAAATTAATAGTAGCACTCCATGGACACAAATGAGATAATATAAGAACTTTTCTTTCTTCTTAGATATTAATACTTCACCTTCAAATCTTTCCTGACTCATAGTTGTAAAGGGTTT